AGTCTTTGGATGTAGAGATATTATGGTTGTGGATTGTTATAGCTAAGCTTTTTTTTTTATTTCTTGCCTATTGTTTGTATCTTTCTCTTCTCTTGCTATGGCCTGCCTTTTATCCCACTTTTGTCACTTAGCTATTTTTCCCCCCTCATGTTTGCTAACATTTAATAAGTAAGCATTGAATAATGGTATATTTTTTGCTGAGTTAGCTCAGGAGTTTGTTCTCTTCTGGATATACAGGTATTCCTTGACAGGACCACAGTTGGGACCAGAATTTCCATTGCTAAGCAAGAAATTTGTTAAGCGAGTCATCTGATTCTACCATCTTTTTTGCCACAGTTGTTAAGCAAATGACTGCAGTTGTTAAGTGAATCACACCACCGTTAAGCAAATCCGGCTTTCCCCTTTGACTTTGCTTGTTGGAAGCCAGTTGGGAAGGTCACAAATGGTGATCATGTGATCTCAGAATAGCACCACCCTTGCAAAATACATGCCAGTTGCCAAGCACCTGAATTTTGATCATGTCACTCTGGGGATGCTGCAGTGGTGTAAATGTGAGGATTGCTTGCAAGTCACTTTTTTCAGCATTGCTGTAGCTTCAAAAGGTTCTTAACAAATGCTTTTAAGTTGGTGGCTACCTGTAAGGATTGACCAGGAATGGGCTTGGTGCAACCAAATCAGAAATTATATACAGCAATTCTTCTACGTGAAAGCTAGGACATGACAAGGTAGAGAAAGCTCAAACAGCATTCTTCAAAATGAGAAAGGTCTTCTGCAGGCACAACATAAGCCTAAGATTGAAAACCAGGCTTGTCAGATGCTATATCTTTTCTATCCTGCTCTACGGAGTGGAGAGTTGGTCTCCAATGGTAAGAATTAGGAGGTAGAAATTAGATGAAGAAAGATCATTGTTATGTACGAGGGCTATCCACAAAATAGATTATGTTTTCGTCTGTAGCAAGGGGTGAAGCTAGCGTGGCCATCTTTGGTCTGTGCGTTTGCTGCTCAGTCTCCATCTAATCGTGCTAGTGGGAGGTTCGTATCGTTGCCCATTATTTCACAGCAAACGTTTGAAATGTGTGCTGCAATTGAAAATCCCGCGAGTTGTGAGGTGCGATCAGTGATAAGGTTTCTGTTGGCAAAAATCCATAAACTGATTGAAATTTTTCGACAACTGTATGAAGTGTACGGGGACAACATCATCACTGAAGGTGGAGTGCGCCAATGATGCATTAAGTTTAAAAATGGCTGAACTCGAGAAGTCCTGAATGCTTTCGCTTGGTGCAAGATTGGGGCTGTAGGGCGGATGAGGAAAAATCTCCCACTTGAAAGCATTTTCTTTTCTTCAGCCAATTGCTGTTAAATGTGAATCACTTAATTGCAGTTGTTAAGCCAATCACTGAAACTGTTAAGTGAATCACACAGTAAATAACTGAATCTGACTTCTCTCAATGGTTCTGCTTGATACTGCAACCATCACAAATATATGCTAGACGCCAAACTCCCAAACTTTGATCACATGACTTTGGAGATGCTTAGACTGTCATAAGGGCAAGGATCAGACATAAGTCACTTTTTTCAGTTCTGTTTCAAAGACTTTGAAAGGTCATTAAATGCATCATTGTAAGTCAAGGACTACTTGTATCACAAGTGCAAATTGGATTCCACCGTGCTGATGCTTCCTCTGATGCAATCCTACCACGTTGCTATTATATTGTGGAAAGGTGGATGTTTTCGTGTCTTTGTGGGTGTGTCATTTGCAGAGGCTGCACTGTTCATATGCAAAGAGCTCACCTTACCTGTTAGGCCTCCTGTCTGCCTGCGTGCACTGACAGTGTGACACACCAAACACATCACCATCTTCACCCCATTGAACCCTTGGGAACCAGTGCCCAGTAGGCTTGTTCAGTCTTATTGCAGTCCTTCTCAGAAATGAGATAACATTTGCATAGACTCAATAAAGCCAAGGGTACGTAAGAGTACTTGTAACAATTAAATAAATAAAACAAAAAAACATTTCCAGAAGAGAGAAGGCAGGTTAATCGGAGCAGCGGGAAGCCAGGTCATTGGGACTAACATGCTCAGAAGGGCTTTAGAGGAAAAATCAAGATGGCTTCCACAACCACCAGATTGAAGCCAGGTTGAACTCCTTTTCTGGAGTGTTGCAATTGAAGACAGCGAAGATTTGGCTGCACAGTTGCAACTACTAATTTGATTCCTTTTTATCATGCCCTCCTACTCTTGAATAGTCCAAAGAGTTCCCGTGTTTGCAAGTTCAAAAAAGTCAAAATGGCACCCATGATTGCATTGTCAAAGAGGGCAGAGTGTGCAGAAGAAGAAAGGGAATTACACTTGCACAATCACAGTTCCTATCTGGACTTTGTTTTAAAAGCAAAAAAAAAATCTCCAGTGTATCTCCCAACCAGGTGAACTTTGGAAATGAATAGCTGTGGAAACAGGCAATTCTCTTATTATTCAAAAAGATACTTCTTCTTTACAACAATAAGAAGGGTGAAGATCCCAATTATAGGTAGTCCTCGACTTACAACCCACAATTGAGCCCAACATTTTTGTTGCTAAGCAAGACAGTTGTTAGTGGATTTTGCCCCATTTTACAGCCTCTCTTACCACAGTTGTTAAGTGGATCCCTGCAGCTGTTAAGTTAATAACACCGTTGTTAAGTGATTCTCGCTTTCCCATTGACTTTGTCGCAAAGTTCACAAAAGGAGATCACATGACCCCAGGACACTGCACCCGTCATAAGTATGAGTCAGTTGCCAAGCACCCTAATTTTGATTACGTGACCATGGAGATGTTGCAAAAACAGCTATGAGCCACTTTTTTCGTTTGCTGCAGTAACTTTGAACAGTCACAAACAACCTGTCATAAGTCCAGAGACTATCAGTCCTCTCCAGCATAATTAAAAAGATGCCCACGACCCAAAAACAAAAGAAAACCTCCTGACCCCCAGCAGGCCAGCAGGAGAGGCTCAGAGCTGGGAAAGAGAAGGAAGGAGGAACGACTCTCAAATGCAGCCCAGAAGCAAATGACGGAGTGGAAACTAATAATTCTCCACTTGGTGACTCATCGTCTCATTTCAAGTTGGGTCTCAGCATAACCTTTGGCTCTTCCTGTCTGATCTGAGATGATTACACACCGAGGAGAGATGTACAAATGAAGGTGTGGAATTAAGGGAGGGGAGACCCTGGTTCAAGTCTGCACTCAGTGACAGACAGTGGGGGGTGGGGGAAACCAGACTTTTCAGCCCCACAGCCTGCACTGGGTGTTGGTTAACATGCTGGACTGGGAACAGAGAGACCTGAGTTCTAGTCCTTCCTTAAGCAGAAGTTGTTTTGGGGAAATGGAATAATATACATCTTCTACAGGTGATCGTTAGTCACTTAAAGACCATTTCAGAAAAGGAGATAAAATCAGGTACAGTCGTGTTTAATGACAATCATGACTTATGACTGTAAATCAAAGGCTACCTGCAATCTGTTATGGACCAGCATGGTAGATTATTGACCATAGCTTTCAATGAAAAACTTTATCCTACTCCAACCTGCTTGGGATAATGACAACAGACAGACACAGACACAGACACACACAGAGGTGCACAAACACACACACAAATATAAGCACACCTATGCATCTTAAAATTTGTATTTATAAAATTAACCAAAGTGCATATACATAAACAAGAAGAACGATGTACAAAAATAAATCACTGGAAATATGAGGACTCTTTTATTTTGTATCAACCTGCTCAAAGAACTCCCTTTAGTGCACGGGAGTGTTTTTAGTGCATTTTAGAAAATTAATATAGGCAGTTTGTTCCCCAAGTTATATTCATGAGCACAAAATATGAAATTATGGAATGTATGGAAGCACCTACATTTCACCTAGGTAAAGGCTGTAGGGCTTTGATTCTAGTGGGAGCCTCCCCCTCTGAAAAACTTTCTTCAAAATCAATAGGAAAAGCTACTCTAATGCCTTTGAAGGCCAATACTTCCTTTTAGACCTGTGTTTTCTCAACCTTGGCCACTTTAAGATATGTGGACTTCAACTCCCAGAATTCCCCTGCCAGCCTTGCTGTGGGAGTCAAAGTTTTAACAAAATAATAGAGTTGGAACCTTGGAGGTCTTCTAGTGCAACCTTCTGCTGAGGCAGGAAACCCTATGTCACTTCAGACAAATGGTTGTCCTCCAGTGATGGAGCTCCAGTGTTGGGAGTCTTAAAATGGCCAAGGTTGAGAAATATTGCTTTGAGGGTGAACCCACCCTCAACCTTATCTTCTACAATTATAACTGAAGTCCTGAATTGAGAAGGGAACTTGGGTTCAAGAGAAGTTCATTGCCCCATCTCCCCATTCAGCAGCAACATTGGGAAAGTCCATGCGGAGTTCTAGTTGCAGCCGTATTTATCAATGAACTTAGGTTTGGTTAACTTAATAATACTGTCTCGTTTAAGACATAAAGGCTAGTTGCCAGCCAATTCGTGTAGGAAGAAACTATTGCTCCATTGAAGCAAGCCAATAGTGTCAGTAAGAGGGATTTCAAGAGTTAATAGAAATACATATTTGCACGTAAAATTTTATTGCAATAAAATCCCTTAAGTAAATTCTGTTAAAATGCCGTAAGTGTGTATGGGCTACGTCTCCAACCTGGCTATCCTTCGACTTTCTTTTAGACAGGTTAACTGGGGAACTTTGAGAGATCAAAACTTCTAGAGGACACCCAATAGGGTAGTGATGGCTAACCTTTTGGGGCTCCTGTGCCAAAAATTGCGCACGCACCAGCGCACATGCACTTGAATGCCAGCACCCAGAATGCAATGTGCGCCCCCCCCTCCCCACGCCTCTTGTGCATGTGAGTGCAATTCTCCCCACTCCCTAACCTGCACTGCACCTCAGCTGATTTTTCGGCTGCTTTGAGGCCTTTTTCGGCCTCCCATAGGCTTGGAAAAAGCCTCTGCAAGGCTTTTCAGGCCGAATTATAGGCCCGTTTCATCACTTCCGGTATTACAGGGCACCAAAGAGTTATAGTTCAACTCTGAACTACAATGGTCCATGAATTTTGTTGCCCCAACCAATGAGAGACACAACATGGCAATCTCAATATGAGATGTAAATGAAGGCATAAAACACAAAGACATTTTATAATAATATTTAGAATCTAAGAGCGGCTCTTGGTTTGAAATACTTCACAGTTAGGCGTCCTTGGTGCTCTCTGAGATTGCTTTTTTTCTTGCAGGCATTTCATTGCTCAAACTAGGTAACGTCATCAGTAATAACATCCCTAGCATTTAGCAGTACTAGCAGCACTAGCACTGATGATGTTATCTAGTTGGGTGATGAAATGCCTGCAAGAAAACAAAACAAGCTCAGAGAACACCAAGGACCCCCTAATTTCAACCCTTAGCTACAGGTATTTTCCTTTATTGGTATTTCACTTCAATATAAACTTAGATCCAAGTTTGTGTGCATACAATTGCACAATAAAGAGCATATCTGACATTTCTTTTTTGCCTTTGCAATGAGTTGATGAAAAAAAGGTTATTAAGGCCTAGTTTGAGGCTGAAAGAACTTTCTCTAAAAGAGGGAGATATTATCTTTATCTCTTCCTCAATTCTAGAAACTATGCCTTTCACCTTAAAAGAACAGCACCAGTCTGGATTAGCTCACATAATGCAATCCTTAATGCTTCCACAAGAACCTTCTGTATTTCCTGTTCTCAATTCTTGATCTCAGACTGAACTGTTATTTGTTCACATATTGGTGTCAGCAAGCTTAAACCAATTTGTGGACACTAAAGAGACTTGCAAATGGCTAGTTACAGTTCTGATTAGAAATCACTGTTCAAAAAAAGACTAAAATAAATGGGGAAAACATATCCAACTATTCACAAATGGAGAAATGGATATGGATATCCAAAATATGATATTTTTTAGCTGAACATCCCAATAGTCAGTCGGGAAACAACACTCATTTTTCCAAGAATTCCAATTCTCCATAGGAAAATTCTAATTTCCATGACAAAATCACTAATGGACACCACTGTTCCGGTTTTCAATCTCAATGGAATTTCACTTAGGAAAGTTCAGTTTTGCTTTGTTTTGTTTTGTAGAATAAGATGTAATGGAAGAATATGGCAACTAGAAATAGAATGTAACTATAATCTCTGTCCTGTTTGGTTCATTCTGATTTCAAACAGAATTTGACTGAGATTTTTAAAGTACAACTCCCACCAAAGGATCTTTTAGAAAAATCATGGCAAGATCTTCTCTAACTCTTAGAATACATACCAGTAACTGGCATCAGGTTCTTGAAATGTAATGTCCTTGTCTGGGTTGATAATTGTGGCCTGTAGATTTCAGAGTGTTGTTTTCAACCTGTTCTCCATTTTCAACCCTGTCTTTACAAGACACCTCAAGCAGAGATGTTTCTTGCCAGACAGACTCATGATTGTTAGAGTCATTTTCACATCTCCATTCTTCTATAAACTGCCTTTCAGGCTGACTACAAAGAGATGTCTGTGAGTTTTCTAGACTTGCACAAATGCTTCTGCATTGGACTCCTCCAGTTCTAATTTCCAAACCTGTGGAAAAGCACAAGTCGTGACTTTCTGATAATATTAACTGGTTCAAAAAGTCGACATCTCTGTTTGTAATTTCTTGACCTTCTCTACTAGGAGCTGAGAAGTCATCTGCAAAGCTAACTGATTCATCCATAATGGAGTCCTCAGAAAGGAAAGTCTTCTCTAAGAGTCCCGAAGAAGCATCCGTTGTCATCCATTCTGCTGTAAAAAAGGGCTTTGACATTGTTGCAGCTGGCCAGCTTTCTCCACTTAGCTGAGAATCTCCAGATCCAGAAGAAGAGCCGGAACATGTTGGAAAAGTGCCAACCGTTGAGCAGTTTTCATCCTTCTTCTGGAATCGAAGAGTTTTTGTGTAAGGAATGTGGCTACTACTATCATCCTCATCCTCGCTGTCTTCACTTTCTTTTGATAAAGAATCCACTGAAAGAGTTGACAGGGCAGGTGTGATATTCGGTTCCAGAATAAAGTTGACTTTCTGTATGGTCAACTCCCTTTCATTAAATTTCAGCAGGTACGTTGGGTGCTGGTACTTAGGAAAATCCTAATTTGGGAAAGGAGAAGTGGGGAATAAGAGAGGAACAATGCATTTTCATTTTTTAAAACTGAGAAACAGGAAGTAAGAACAACTAACAAGACTGGGTGGAGACCAACAGGACTGATTGTTGAGTAGCTGTGCTTTGTTTACTGATTGTATCAACACAGATTTATTATAAATGGACAACTGTATTCGCTGCATCAAAAACTTGACTTGAAATTTAGAAACTTGGAATGTAAGTAACATTAAGCTTATTCAACAAAAATAAGATCTGGAAGTAAAAATAATGAATTCATTTAAGATGGTAACTAAAACCAATAATTTATGCCCCCTAATTGTTCACCAATTATATTGTAGGTTCTGACTGTAGAGCGTTCAGTAGAGCAGCGTTTTTGACTATAGGTATGAGACAATAAAAGCTTGAAAGAGCTGCCAGGTGCCAGAAAAAGGGGGAAGTGGCTATGATTTGTCTTGATGCATAGAAAGCTTTTGATAATTTGGAATTTATTTCTATAGCCATGATCTTGAAGAAGATGAATTGTGCTGAGATTTTCTTTCAAGGATGCAGAGAATTTGCAAAGGACATAAAGCTAAGATAATTGTAAAGGTGTTTCTATCATAAAACGCATTATTCAAAAAGAGAAGGTTATCCACTCTTCTATATTTTTTTAATTGGAATTACAGTCCCTGGCAAGGAAGATAAGGCAAGAGAATAAAAATTCAGGAATTTCTCTCACTGGTTTCAATATCTTTGAGTAACATAGTCCAAACAGAGCCAGGAAAAGATGTCCTATTTAGAGATCTGAGCAAATGAAATGCTTATGAAAGAAAACTCAGAACATCTGTTAAAGAATATATATAAGCTGCTTCTGAAACATTCTCAAGAAATGGAATAAGTCTAAGATTACATGATTAAATGAGTGCACAGTTTAAACAGAACAAATGATACAGCACCAAGACAATGTAGTCAATCATTTAAAGATCATAACTGGATTTTTTAAATGACCCATTTTAATTTGAAACTGATCTTTGCACTTATTAATACACCATGCTAAATCCAAATTCTCCATAAATCTGATTCCTATATAGGCTAAACTGACTGGGGTCCTTTTGATGGTGACTTTGAGGGGACCTGTGGGTGAATTTAACTTGTATAGGAACTAAATACCCTCAAGAGTGGAATAATTGCTATCAGATGTCATTAGTCCAAGATCATCAGCTGCGAAATGCCAGTTATGAATCCCTTTTATATGAGCAAAGCTCATCCTGCTCAATGACAGAGCATCTGTTTAAGATGAATAAAATTTCTAGGTCCAATTAGCATTCTCAGTTTAAAAAGTGTCAGGCTACAAGGCTGGGAACGAGATATCTCTGAAGGACTGCATATTGATAACATTAAATATCTGTCCACAATGCAGGCCAGTATTCATCATGGGATATACAGTATTAAACAATTGAACACTTGGAACAATTGTTGATCAGTGGTCTTGACTAAGAGACCTGCAAGCAAATTTTGTGAACATGGTTTAATCAGCAGAGATTATCAATTTGGTGCCTTCTAGGTGTTCTGAAGCACAACTCTCACAATCTCTTGTCATCAATCTTGCTGCTATTTCTTCTGCAGTGAGCAAATGATGGTTGATAAGGCCAAAATGAGTCCTGGCTGTCATGCAGGCAGTTTCTCAAAGATAATCACTCCCTTTAGTTACTAAAGAAAGCTTTTTATGTCCCTTTCCTCTGCTAGCTGTCTTCTTCTTCTTTTAGAACCACCTGCTTTGTGCTGCGATATTTAACGTAACCATGATCATGACCAAGAGAACATGAAACTGAATTCTAAGCAAGAAGCAAATAGCACTTCTCCAAACTGTTTCAGACAGATGTTGCCCAAGAATTTATATCCATTATTTATTTTCCACATTAACAGGGAATCCATGGGGTCCTAGGTGCTCTCTGAGCTTGATTGTTTTCTTGCACATGTTTCATTACCCAACTAGGTAACATCATCTGATAATGATTACCTAGTTGGGTAATGAAACATCTGCCAGAAAACAACCGAGCTCAGAGAGCACCAAGGACCCCACAGTTCAACCCTGAGTTACAAATATTCTTTTCTGTCGCTACTATGGAATCTTGTTTATCAAACCACGACAATCTCCTCATTCAATGTCCTCTCCAATTGTCCAATGGGGAACAGTAAAAAAAAAAAAAAAAGGCAGCTGGCCTGTAGTCTACATAACCTTGTTTTTCCCTCATGATGCATATTTTGTACAATGAGGGGGGAAAAAAGACTATTAGCCACTCACTGGGAGATTGCAAAGCTGTCCCTCAAAGCTGCCACAAAGCATATGGATGAAGACAGCAAGATGCCACATTATATAGACTTAAGGATGAGGAGAAACTCTTAAGGAGACAAGAATTCCTGCCAAAGGGAAACTGCCTATCCCACGTTCCCAGAAGAAATACTGAAAATAGTCTTTCTTCTGAGCTGAACATTAATTGTCTTTGTGAAAAACCTATGCAATCTATTATGGGCACATACAGGCACGGCATCAATATCCGATCAGTGCAGGCTCTATGTATGAAAAGATGCACACTATTATGGAAGTCAACTTCCCCCTGTTTCATCTCTGAAATCTTCCATGATTCCCATACCAAAGCTGAAGGCATCTCAACTTGCTTGATCGTGTGGTTATAACAGAAGATAAGCAACACAGCACCAGTGGCCAATATAACAAGCAAAGGAATGGCAACCATTTCCCATTTTCCTACAGGAAAAGAAAAAAAAAAGCAATTATGAGATACTAAAATGCACAGTTCAGTTATCAATAGATAGGAAGTTGGACTTGTTAACTACCAAGTTAACTGAAGTCCAACACTCTGAAGAATGCCAGGTACAAAAAGACTGATCTAAACAACACTTTTCAGTTTAAAACAAACTAACAATATCATGTATTGGCCTAGGATCCAAAGCTCCAACTAAGAATCTCTCCTAGCTCTCTCTGGTGATGCTGAGGACTGAAACGGGACCTTTTGAGGACAATCCTCTTGTTCTGCCTATGAACTATCGTCCTGCTCAACTCCGATAGCCACTGGACATCTTTGTTGAGAGAATCACGGTAACTGTAATGTCTGGAGGGAGATAGGAGGGTGAGATAATAGTACCCAAACAAGAGTCCCAAAATTGGAGGTAACCTTGCTCCAGGCCACTAGCAGAGGAAAGAAGAAAAGGAGCTGCACCCCAAAAGCAAGGAAAGTGTAAGAAAGTAAACCATGATAAGCAAGAAAATGAACCCATGTAGCAAATAATTCTCTGGAGCTGCCGGTGAAAAGAAGGAAAAAAAGGAAGCGCTGCAACTCTGCCTTGCAATTTATTTATTTATTATTAATTTATGCATGAGTGCATGTATTTAATTTCTACAGCCCCCGATCTCTGCAAACGGCCCTGGGCGGCTCCCAATTCAAAATGGAGGAAGTCATCATGGACTTCTCTGATTGCTTGATTTCTGGTGTGTTTTTTTGCTTACATCAAAAGACCAATCACAATACTTTAATGGGATTGCATTGGCCATGGGTGCATAAAACTGGACATTTCCAATCCTACATAAAGATCTGTATTGGATCAAGTTCCCTGGGAAAACGGAGCTCTAGACCTGTGACTCCTCCTGCACTTTCTTCAGGCAACCACAGGCAAACTGGTTCCGAGAAATTACTCCACTTGTCTTCATTTCTAAAGGATGTTCGGGCACGAAGACAGTGTTCCCCATGGAGCCAATCTGTTGTGTTGACCTCCACTGAAGGCTCGTGAGTGTTCTGTAATGTCACCTGAAAAATAAGCAAGCAGAGACTTGAACCCAGGACAGGAACCCTGGCAAAGGAGCATAGCAGACAGATCAAGGTTGGCTCCTTAGGGATGACTGCCAAGTTTACTGCTAAGGGGAATTAGACTTGGCACTCATCCCTAAGGAGCCAATTTTCCTTTCCTGGGTTTCTTCTTCTGCACCTTTAAGGTGGGAGGGATGACTATGGAAGGGCTGTGGGTTACTGCCATTTGATATGGGAAATAACCTCCAAGTTGGCATTGGGATATCAAGGGCTATTAGTTTTGCCGACTATCTGCCTAATTCCTGAATCAAGGCAGCAGACATTAGACATGAGTTGGAAGAAGTGGTGGAAGAAGTCCCCTATCCCAGGGGTGTCAAACTCAAGGCCCGGGGGCAGGATCTGGCTTGCGGGATACTTAGATCTGGCCCGTGGAGCTGTCCTGGGAACAGCAAAGGACCAACCCGTGGTTCTTCTGCCAGGGAAAATGGGCAGAGGGTTGCAGGAGGCTGTGGCAGCCGAAAATGGAGCTTGGGAGCCTGTTTTTGCTGGGAGAGCGCTTGGACCACCACAGGAGCCCATCAGGAGTGATGTCGAGCTGGCCACACCCACCCCAGCCCCTGAGGTCAAACACAACCCTGATGCGGCCCTCAATGAAATCGAGTTTCACACCACCGCCCTATCCTATCTTTTTTGTGAATTCCTCAGGTGAGTCCAGTTGGATTCCATCAAGCAAGGCTCTTTTCATGCTCTTCAGGTATGCAAGTTTAAGAACTACAGGTTATTAAGGGTACATCTCCCAGAATTCCTAGTCAGCAGGTAAGCCCAGGAATTTAGAGAGATGCTAACCTAACATATTTAGACAGCATCATATTTGGGAAGGTGGAGTTCAGAGGATTTTTTTGTTGAATGAATTAAGGGAGACAAAGGGAGAGTTTCAAGAACATCCATTCCAAATATATCTCTGGACCACATATATTATCTTTTTAAGCCAGTGCTCTCCCAACCCCAGAACCTCCTGGATTTGTCTGACTTGGGTCAGTAAGATATATAGACTCTGACTTATAACAAGGAGGTCTTGGGTAGAATGGCCTTTCTTAACACTGCTCTCCAAAGAAGGCATCTAAACAACCTTTCAAAAGGATATAGACAACTTTGGACAGAGGAGCTTCTTACTCATGGTGCCTTAAGAGGGAGACGCTGGCATTTATCCAAATCTATTTTGACTTCTTATACTTCTAGGCGGCAACAAATTCATCTTTCAGGCTACCAACCCCTGGCTTTATTTTGTCCTTTATTTTATTTTATTTTAACTCTTGCTTTAGTAAATGGTTTATTTTTTTTAGTATTCTTGAATAATTCATCAAAGGAAGGAAGGAGATACAGCTCTTCACAATTAAACAAACCCTCCATTGTTGGATAGCAAATACAGTCAAACAATGTGCGGAGGATTCTATATTTTATTTCATGAGTCAGGTTAGGAATATAAGTCACCTAACAGTAATTTGGGTTGGAAATATATAAACCAGGATAGACATTTTAAAACTATCTTTAAGAAAATACAAAACTGTAGTTGGGTGTGGTTTCTAAAATGGCCATAAGATGGAGCCAGAAACCTGGATTGTTCAGTCTTAGTCTTAGTCTTAGAAGAGAGTATGAGTGAGTCTCTATTTCCTTCTGTTGGAGAGTATTGCCATTCCTCCATTTTTTCTAATTGACTGCTATTCTTGGATTTGATGTAAGTCTGATACTGAACTATTTTTGACACTGGACTTTGTCATTGGATTATCCCTGGACTGAAAACTGACTGATTTACCTGTGAATGACTTTGGACTGCCTATTTTGAACTTTGCTTAAATCTTTATTGAAAGTAAAAACTACATTTACTGTACAGTGTATCTGTGTGCTGCGTGTGTATTATTCAAACACTACTCTCTATATGTCTCCCTGTATGCGCTCATTCTTCTAATGGGGAATTACCTGAACAAGTCATGATTTTAAAAAAGGCTTCTTTAACTGAAGATCTTTGGAAGTACACAATACAAATGTAATAAATATTTTCCAAGCAAACCTGCAAGAGAGGAGAAATTAGTGTAGCAACATTCTCTGGCTCACCAATTTCTGGAATTCACCTCTCCAAATCTCCAAATCATATGTCAGAGACTGAAAGACGTCCTTCAAACAAGAAGGGTAGGTGAAAGAAACGTTCACGCCAAGGATATTTCTGGTATATTTTACTCTGAGAACTGGAGGAGCAAGTTGCACTGGAAAAAAAATAAGGCAGGTAGTTAGGGCAAGTGCAGTGGAGTGTAGTCTGGATTCCCAGGAAGGAGGGGCTCAAGTTTAGATAGTTTGGTTGGGAGGAAGAGGGTCAAGATATCTCTTCCCTAGAAGTTCTCAGAATATATCTTTAATGATGGAAATGGTTTAGTTTGGCAAGATTTTGTTTATAGGCCAGGAACAATAAAGGAAACGGATTAGAAGTAACTTTGCTGGTCTTTCTGATTTTTTGGAACCTGACATCAAGTTATCAAAATAAGCTGGTCTCACTAATTTCTGCAAAGAACAGATGATCTTCCTGGGACAACCTAAATGCAGAAGGTCTCATTTTCCTTAGCCTAACCTTTCCTAGCTGGCTGCCTTACAGATGAAATAAGTATTACAACCTCCTGAATTCCAATCACCAGGAATTTTAAGTGTTCAGGTCAGTGTTGGGATTCAAATTTTTTTACTACTGGTTCTGTGGGCGTGGCTTGGTGGGCGTGGCAGGGGAAGGATACTGTAAAATCTCCAGTTAGAAGCGATATTTGCCGGTTCTCTGAACTACTCAAATTTTCCACTACTGGTTCACCAGAACTGGTCAGAACCTGCTGAATACCCACCTCTGGTTCAGGTCCTATAAAGTTGAAAGGTTGCAGAAGCTACCCTATAGGCATGTTGTTCTCTAGCTATCTCAACTTTGGCAGCTTTGAGACCTGTGGACTTCAACTCCCAAAATTCCCCAACCAATCATACTAGATGGGGAATTCTGAGAATTGAAGTCTACAGGTCTTAAAATTGCCGGGGGGTTTTCTCTTTAATTTCACCAGAGGGGAAAAAAAACCTTATATCTCCTAGCAATCCTGTCCACTTTGCTAATGGTCACATTCTTCTTTCTGCATCATTCAGTCTCAAAAGGATCCCGCTGGATATTCTACCTTCTGCATCAGAAGTCTCCAAACTTGGCAACTTTAAGACTCGTGGACTTCAACTCCCAGAATTCTGGCTGGGGAATTCTGGGAATTGAAGTCCACAGGTCTTAAAGTTGCCAAGTTTGGGGACCCCTGTTCTACATAAAGCCACAACTCTCTAAACCTTTCACACATTTTTCTTTCCTTCTTCAAGGCTATCTGACAATCTAGACTTTCTCCCAGAACACCCTTAAGCACAGGGGTCTTCAAACTTGACAGCCTTAAGAATTGTGGACTTCAACTCCCAGAATTCCTCCTCCTGTCATGTTAGCTCAGGAATTCTGGAAGTTGAAGTCCACAAGTCTTAAACTTGCCAAGTTTGAAGACCCTTGCTTAAGCAGCTCAGTTACAAACCCCAGTGCAGTGAGGGCAAACCCGTGACATGTATGTCACAGATGACCTGCCGTGTCACTTTTGGTGTCACGCCAAGCCTTTGGACCTTCCAGAAGCTGTGCAAGACGTCTCTGCTCTGTCATGGCCTCTGGAGTCTCTGAAAAATTGTGCGAGAATGGGCCATACTTTTCTGCTCTTTTCAGGCGCTGCAAAACCATGCTAGAGATTTCTACGGTTTGTAAAGTTTCCAGGTCTCGTGCAACCCGGAGCTCCCTGGGTAGGCATTTCAAAAACATATTTACAATGATGCAAGTATTTATTTAATACTAAATTTAAATCATTTAATGTAACATATTCTTATGAATTGTTTATCTTTTGTCGGCATGTGTGCATATGAGAGATACACCAGCAGTGTCAACGTTGGTGTTTTCTGAATTTTTGACACGTCAAACACAAAAGGCTCGTCATTGTTATCCTAGTGGTTGCATGAACATCCCATGGTAAAAACTTAATTAATTTTAACCTTCTCTCATTTTTGAATGAGATGAAGCCAAGCTAAGAAGTTACAAACCCCAAAAATGACCTCTTCCATAAACTAACTTAATCACGGTTGTGCAAAATGCCTTTTCCCCTTGCCCTGAGCAAACCTGGAAGAAAACAGCATTTGCCTTTTCAGAAATTGCTAGCATGGATCAAACCACCTTCTGTGCTTCCAGGCTTCCCGGGAAGAGGAGAGCTACACATACGGGATCCTCATACCCTGAAGGATGTAGTCGATGCTTTCAGGCACCGATGGGATGGATCCAGCCCCGGTTCTGCTTTGAGCTTCCACCTTGACCCAGTATCGGTTGCTTGGTTCTTGAAACACACAGGTCATATTGCAAATGGTTTCAGTGATATTTTGGCAATGCTGTACTTCCTCCCACTGATGATCAAAACTCTCTCTACAGGAAGAAATCAGAAGAACCAGCTAAGCTTTGCATTCACTTGAGATGCTGTTATAGCTCTTCTGCATGGAATCTTGCAGGGTGTGAAAGGGTGGGTCTTAAATGCCTCCCATTAGGATTGTCCATGAAAAAATGTTTATAAAGTCAAGATGGTGTCCAGAACCAGGCAATCAAATCCCTGTTCTCCCTCCTGCCCCTTTTACATGCATTGCAACATGGTTATGGTCACCATCTAGACCGTTTTTTATCCAGATTCTGCATATCCTCTTCCCTCATGTAATAGTATAAATAGACAGACAGACAGATAGACAGACCTAGATGGATGGGTAAGTGGACGCATGAGTAGATGGGTGATAGATAGATAGATAGATAGATAGACAGACAGACAGACAGACAGACCTAGATGGGTGGGTAAGTGGACGCATGAGTAGATGGGTGATAGATAGATAGATAGATAGATAGACAGACAGACAGACAGACAGACCTAGATGGGTGGGTAAGTGGACGCATGAGTAGATGGGTGATAGATAGATAGATAGATAGATAGATAGATAGATAGATAGATAGATAGATAGACAGACAGACAGACAGACAGACAGACAGACCTAGATGGGTGGGTAAGTGGACGCATGAGTAGATGGGTGATAGATAGATAGATAGATAGATAGACAGACAGACAGACAGACAGACCTAGATGGGTGGGTAAGTGGACGCATGAGTAGATGGGTGATAGATAGATAGATAGATAGATAGATAGATAGATAGATAGATAGATAGATAGATAGATAGATATAGATAGATAGATAGACAGACTGACAGACCTAGATGGATGGGTAAGTGGACACATGAGTAGCTGGATGATAAATAGATAGATGATAGATAGATAGATAGATAGATAGATAGATAGATAGATAGATAGATTAGATAGACAGACAGACAGACATGGATGGGTAAGTGGATGCATGAATAGATGGATGATAGATAGATAGATAGATAGATAGATAGATAGATAGATAGGCAGGCAGGCAGGCAGGCAGGCAGGCAGGCAGACATAGATGGATGGGTAAGTGGACGCATGAGTAGATAGATAGACAGACAGACAGACAGACAGAAAGATATAGGATGGGTACGTGGATGGATGTGTACCTGGATGATAGACACAGAGACAGACAGACAGATATCACTGGCAAATCACCATTCTTTGGTTTACCAGGCCCGCACGTTAGCATCAAACAGGCTCCATCGTGGTCTAGAAGCCAACCTCCTGTCCCCATGCAGTACAGCCTCCTCCCTGACCTGCTGAGATGGGGAGGGGACTGCACCACGGCAGCCCTTTGGGAGGAATGCCCACAATATGGCCTCAATGTACCCGCTGGAGCTCCCAGCCCTCAAAACCAGCATCCCTTTCCTTCGATGCTCACATCCAAAGGACAGTATAGGACACTCCCGGTGGGGATCCATCCGGCGGCAACCATTTCACGAACACACTGTAATCCTTTGAGACAAAAGTGAGGTTCTGAGGTGGCTGGAGGTCTTCACCTGTCAGAAATTAAAGCCAGAGTTTTCATTTCTTGTTGAGTCAAAGGCTGGGTTGTACAATCGAGTGGAACATTTTGGGGACAGAAAGTTCCCCCCCCCCACTCCAGGGGTGGGATTCATTTTTTTTAAACTACCGGTTCTGTGGGCGTGGCTTGGTGGGCGTGGCTTGGTGGGCATGGCTTGGTGGGCGTGGCAGGGGGAAGGTTACTGCAAAATCCCCCTTCCCTCCCCACCCCACTAACCTGCTTTCCAGCTCCATTCTCCTGTTCAGGGCAACCAAAGAAGACCCAGCCAATCAGCTGGGACTTAGGAGGCAGAGAATAGATGGGGTCAGGGCCAGTCAGAGGTGGGATTTGCCGGTTCTCCGAACTACTCAAAATTTCTGCTACCGGTTCTCCAGAACTGGTCAGAACCTGCTGAATACCATCTCTGCATTAAGTCTACAGACTCCAGGGCAGTGGATCACATCTACTGAAAAAATCCACCTTGGCACAGAAGAAGCGAAACCAACTCTGGGCTTCCCACGTAAACGCACCATAGTTCATTCCCCCTTTCTCCATGTCCCTTACATCCACCAATCTCTCCTGTTTGTTTTGTTTTGGGAACCAGCCGATCGCGCTGTGGCATCTACTCTGGGAGTCCTTGAGGAGGAGAGCAAAGTCTCAAAGGAACCAACGATGCTTGGAGACCATTCCTCCCACCCTTGCATTCCAATTCACACACACCCCCTCCCCCCAATGCTTTGTGAAGCTGCGAGCAAAGCAGAATGTAGATGAAAGTTCGATGTTCAGTCTTGACAGATACATGGCAAACTTGGGGAAAATGTGAACTTAGCCTGGGAAAATAAGAAAGTGTGAGACAGAAACTGCCCCACCTTGGCTCTCTTTCCTGTAAGAGAGAGTGGAAAATCCTAGTCCTGCTTTAGCTTCAAAGCCAAGTGACTGAACTTGGGCCAGTCAGTATCTCTTATCCCTAAGAAAGTGATAATGGCAAAGCACTTTCAAAATCTTTGCCAAGAGAACTTCAGGAATTAGTCCAGGCAGTCACTAGGAATCAACACGGACTCAAAGGCACACAGACAAACACAGGACTATCGATCTATCTCAGTAGTTAAAGATCATGAGAAGGTTGAGGGTCTACCAAGAACTCGATCTTGCTCTGGTGGGGTATAATGTCCCACTGCCTACATAGGAAGCATATGGGACACGGAGGCACCTGGTCCTCTCCCAATTTTAGTCCAATTTCCCTATTTTCCATTTCAAATCACCTCTTTCCCCTCTAAACTTGGCAGATGTATCGGATGCCCCCGTGGGCTTTGTCTGAAAAACTCTCCCACCCCCTCCTGTTGCTCAAACTCGGACGCCAAGGGTGACACCCTGAATCCAGAGACTTTTGAAAAGAGAAACGCATTCCTAGTTTGGTTGCACTTTCTCAAAAACCCTGCAATACCTGTGAATGGAAGTCAAGCTCCTCCAGAGATTTGGAGGGAGGGGAGCAGATCCTACCTTGAGTGGGCTGGAAAGAAGCAAAAAACACCAGCAGGACGCCGAGTCCCACAGCAGGCATTCGGAAGGAAGTCCGCTTGATCTGTGCCCAATTTGCTTTCTTACTTTCACTTCCAGGTTTCCTGTGTGGCACACGTGAACCAAGGCCCCCTAGAGGAAAGCATCCACGTCACCTGGTGCTGGAAAAACACCTGGGCCACCCTGTCTCGTGGGGGCGGTGGGAAAGTCCCACTGACTTCTTCTTGCTTCTCCTGGCCCCATCCAGCTCCTTGGAGTCAGAGTCAAAATTCAAATTTATTACAGCTCTAAGACCAGAATACAAACAAAATATCGGATAAAAGAAGCATTACATCCTTCCATGTGTATAAAAGGAAAATAAGGATCACGGAGTCTAAACGTAATTTTTAGAACCTAGTTGCTAAGCTAAATCCAAGTAAAAGACTATTATAAGAAGTTCCAGCCCTCAGGAGTGATATGGTGCGTCGTACAGATGGTCACTCAGAACTGGGCAACTTAAGAGGTAATTAAGTTGAGCTGCAGTGGCACGGAGATTAGAGTGCAGTTCTACAGGTTCCTTTTGCTGACTGCCAGCTGCCAGCAGTTCAAATCTCACCAGGCTCAAGGTTGACTCAGCCTTCCGTCCTTCCGAGGTGGGTAAAATGAGGACCCAGATGGTTGGGGGCAAAAGGCTGACTCTAAACCGCTTAGAGAGGGCTGTAAAGCACTGTGAAGCGGTATATAAGTCTAAGTGCGTATTGCTTAATTTTTGAGTCCTTCTCTTTGGTCTAGTGCAGGGGTAGGGAAACTTGGCTCTTTTATGACTTATGGACTTCAACTCCCAACATTCCTGAGTGAGCTATAAAAGGTTCCCCATCCCTGCCTACTGTTTTTTCAGTTGTGGGGGAATTCAATTTTTGACTTGAATGGGACTGTTTAATATACAAAGGTAGACATATTCTTTATATGTCCTACATTTGGCATATTCATTTAGCATATTCTTTATATGTCCTACATTTGTATATTAAACAGTCCCATTCAAATCAAAAACTGATTTTCCTCACAACTGAAAAACCAGTGTGAAAAACCTTATCACCTGCAGTGATTCCCTTAACAACTGAGGCAAGAAAGGTCGCAAAATGAGGCAAAACTCACTTTACAACATACATTTCTTACTCAGGAACATAAATTTTGGGGTTCAACTGTGATTGTAAGTGGAGGATTACCTATATTGGATATCTACTGTCACAAATTATGGGATTTGGGAGCCTTGGCGGGCTGGTTAAAGAAATGTTACAAGAGAAAGAGAAAATCACACCAATGCATTTTTATGATTTGTTGTTGGTTTAAAATTGTTTCCTTTCTTTTTTCTTTCCTTTCCTTTCTTTTTGGACAAGGGAACAAAGGAGGCACTTTTCCAAGAAGCCCCATTTTTGGTTCTGTTCATAATAATTCCCCACACCTTCCCCTTTGTTCTTTGGGTATATCAGGACTATTCACCTCGAGCTTGAAGTCTATTCTTTTTATATATATATATAATATATATATATA